TATTACATGTCAAATATAATTAATTTCAGTAGTTTACCCTTGTTTTCGCAACTTGGTCATATTCGCAAGAAGACCTAGATGAACGCACGTAGTCCGGAGTCTATAATATGCATTATAATTTCCAGAGTCGGATTGATGTATTGGTGAATTACCATTTGGGATATTATCATGCATACTATAGACTCCGGACAAGATGCATTTCTCTAGGTCTTCCTGCAAATATGACCAAATTGCAAAAACAATGTCAAACATCTACTATACATCGAAAGGAGACTGCGACCAAAATTCAGAACAATATCTTGTTCGTCGAATCTACGTTTAATTTGTTTAAAATTAAGCTTTTTACCACCAATTAATTAAAGAGTAGCCAGCGCAACAGAGCTACGCAAAAACTAAAAATTACATTTTTGCTTCGAGGACATACCCTAAAAATCTTACTTTTCGGGTGAAATTCAAATAGTATCTTATTATTCTAGTACAAGGCGAAATCATATCTAATGTGAATCTAATGTTCATTTCAAAATAAAGACTAGCCGCTAAGAATTCGTGGAATGATCTAACAGGAAACCGAAAAAGCGTTTAGCATGTATTAAAGTCTGTCAGATTGTGCGTACTAATCCCCGGTTCACCGCTATACAACCCGGATGATCGGTGAGTAGATCACTTTTTCACACAATCCAAGATACCTTAATCTAAGGCAATACTGCTTCAGTTCCTAGTGAGAAAAATCCATGAATTCCCTCCAACTACCAATGTCTTGGAAACTAAATGTCGAGTCAAACGAAATAACTGAGGGTTTACCTTGTTGCCGCTACTTAGACCTGTTGTCAGGGCGACTTCGTAGAACGCACCTTGTCCCAAGTCTTCTGTCATTGTAATTATAATAATTCCCAGCATTAGACAGTGGACTTGGTACATTCTCAGACGTTTCGCCGGCATCGTAATTGGGGTTATCAGTGAGTGCTGCCATTCTTCGAACCAAGCTAGTGTGACCTCATCACACCTGCTATTAACACTGACCCCCTCTCTTTCGATTTGCTGATCCGACTCGGACTTCTTATCCAAATCTTACTCATGGTCCTAGAGATCCGATTCTAATCTTTTTGGTTGACCGATTTCACTCGGTTCCAGTCCCAGTGTGAAGTGTATTATTTTTCCTTGAATGTCACGCAAATATTTAATTTACTTAATATTAGCCGTAGTTTTTAAGTTAGTACGCAAGAAGGTAGGCATATCCAATAACTAACTCTAAAACTACGGCAATATTAAGGAAATGGAATATTCGAGTGCACATGAAGGAAAAAACAATACATTTTACAAGAATACTGACGCAACATAAAAGTGTGGACAAATTGGATTGTTCAGGAGTGTATCGCATAGCATGCAGCACCTGCGAACAGAAATAAATTGGCGAAACAGGGAGAAAAATAAGTATATGATTCAAGGAACATTAAAGGCTCTGCAGGAAAATGGATACCGGAAGATCAGAATTAACGGAACACATCGCACAAACTGGACACGAGATAAAATTGAAGGCAACAAAAAAAGGCCTCATACGGTGACAACACAAGAAAGCAGATTAGGGAGGCCATTGACATCCTTGAGGAGAAAATTCTAATGAACAGGAGATTCGATTTTCGGCAATCAAGCGAAGACGTCAGTGAGTGAAGTCTGCACGAATAAACCAGTATAACTTTGGGGGCATGACAGTCAGGGAGCTGGGCCGACAGATAAGCAAACCGTCACATTATACCCAAAATGTAATAGGAATACACTTGAGATTCAGCATGCGACCAGAGATAGGCATCTACAGTTTGCTCAACTAGGACTGGTTTAATCAAGGAGTCGACTCGTGAAGGCAATGCCTTATATCTGCAAGGATGGGAATCAGATCTAAGGCGCTTTGCTCGGTGAGGCGGCAGTGTACGTGATTCTAAGGCCTTGAGAAATAGCGCCTGGAGTAAAAGGCACACAGGGACTGAAACCTAGTGAAATCGGTCAACCAGAAAGATCAGAATCGGATCTCTAGGACCATGAGTAAGATTTGGATAGGAAGTCCGAGTCGGATCAGCAAATCGAAAGAGAGGGGGTCACTAGATTTGACAAAAATGGGCACACATTCTTACGGGTGGAAAGTAAACAAGTCAGAAGTTGTGATAGGGCGGGAGTTTGATAAGAGGGTAAAGAGTTGATGGATGGGCCAAGACAGAAAGAGCAGTGATAGTGTAACTGTTTTCGACAGAACGTTCGTCGAGGGATTGACTTCACTTGTCTCTTTGACGAGTTGGAAGCTTGGTGCGAAGAATGGCAACACTCACTGATGATGCCGGCGAAAAGTCTGAGAATGTACCCAGTCCACTATCTGATGCTGGGAATTATGATAACTACAATGACATAGGATTCGGGACAAGGTGCCTTCTACTAAGTCGCCCTGGCAACAACACCAAGTTGCGACAGCGAGGTCAATCTACTTCTATAAATCAAAAGGAGACTGCGACCATACCGGCGGCCACACATTATGGTATCATATCTTCGATTAAATAACTAAGAGTTTGTTCTGAACACAGGTTTTTTCAAATATGCAGAGATCATACCTGGTCGCTATTTTTATAAAATAATTAAATACAGAAAAATAGTTTTTTTTTGACCGAGTTGGATTGTCATGGAGACCTTATGGAATGTGCCTAGTCTTGTGTCCTCTGCCATAATATTTCTAATTTCCAGTAGCAGACCATTGATTTGGTACATTCCCAAACGTTCCGCCGGCATCGTGATTGAGAGGTGACATCTTCAGCACAGGGCTACAACTTATTACAGTGACAAGTGACGGCAAGTGAGGGTTGAAATGAAAATGGGCACCTCTCACTGACGATGCCGACTATGAAACCGGCGAAACGTTTGGGAATGTAGCATTTCAATGGTCCGATGCTAGAAATAACTAAAACTATAGCAGAGAACACATGACTAGATACGCTCCATAAGGTTTCCCTGATGCTCAAACCACGTTACTAAAACGAGGTCGAACCAATACTAAAGAATAAGCATTGCTAAAGTATGGCTGAAATAAAAAACGCATTCCGATCTGAAGCCTGACAGCACTAAAATCTTCTTTAAAACCTTTACGCTGTAGACAATGAAACCTTACTAAAATAAAGTTGCTTGGCTACAGCAAAGATAATTTCGCACTATGAATTAGGATACGTAAAGAAGATATTAAGAAAATGGAATCTGAAAATTAGAATAAGCAATTGAGTAACCCTCTACAAATTGAATTATATGAGTCAAGCTAGGCTATATTTCAGCTTGTCCAAATCATATCCAATTCTTATTTGGAATAATGTATCAGTTTAAAGCAAATATTCAACGTGAAGAGCACCAATCATCTTCAGAAAAATAGACAAATTATGCTTTTCGCTTTAAAACAAGTTATGTAATTAAGTAATTGGATCATAGCGTAGGATAGTAAAATATCTAATGATTGGCAGAGAATTCCTTTGACATACTGGAAAGAGATCACAAACTGATCAGGCTCATCCTCGCTGGTCTCCAATGTATCGGAATATTTGGATCGGACCAGAAAGGCACCAGGAAGATATGCCCGAGTTAATAGGTCTTCGGCGCTTTTTCGATCAAGTGAAGCATGATACCAGGGCTGGTCGTGGTAGCGCGGAGGTGCTGGATTGGTCAAACGTGCCAAGTTGGTCACATCCTTAAGACCAGGTAGATCGTTGTTCTATGGAAAAATATGTAAGAAAGAAGATAATTATTGCATTCATGAAAACCAAAATAAATAATAGACACTTTACCAGCTTCGTTAGACCTATGATGACTCCTCTATCCAAGGCAAAAAAATCCTTTGTAATAGAAAACTCGCAGACTAAATCAGAAAAAGTAAAGTCCTTTTAAAGAAAATTAGTTAAATTAATATGGATTCAGCTTTGTCAGTGATTCGCTTTCAGTATTTTGGAAGCGAATGTAGATGTGATTTATAGAGCCAAACGTTCTGCCACATATTTTCAATTGCTAATGATTTGTTGTTTGTTTAAATTAAAATCAAACATTCCTGTTTCCTTAAAAGTTTAACAAAAATAACTTACCGATGGCATAAAACCAATTAGCTGGCTTAATTTTTTCGGTGAAATTCTACTCTTTCCTGCGCAGGTAGACTAAAACAGCACATCTATCCTAACTTTATGTTTGGGTATGCATTTATTAAACAGCAAACAACACCAAAGAACATATAATAACATTTCCTTACTCTTAATCTAGCAAATAACTTTTGAATTGAACTAGTCCGTACATATTATATTAATTGTGCCGGATTCATGTGTATTGTTTTTACATCCTTCAAATCGAAGCATAAATTAATTAACGATAGAGCTTGATCGTGAATTTCGAATAAATTATGTTGAACAATATTCTTCACTATAGTTACACCCATTGCTCTTTTCCACACACTCTTAATCCTCTAGTAGTCAATTTAAGTTAAGACCGCATTTGGCAGAACAGAAAACGAATTTAAATGCCATAAACAAAGCTAATAAGCCTCAAGGCGGAGAGTAGACTATCTAATGTTTCATCAATTTAGTTCACATAGAAATACTATTAGAATATAGATTAAAAGCTTAAATAAATAAATCCTCAAAATATTAAACAAATTAAACATTACCTTGAATTCAGCTAAAGAAAAGTTGCCGGAACTGGGATAGAGTGAAATTTATTATTATTATAAGGAGCCAGTCAGGATAGTAAAAATGATTAAATACATCTAGGAAAATTAAATAGGATAGCTTTAATTTCAGAAACCCTAGTAAGGCTGGTTTACAAAAGATCAGGTGAATGTAAAAATAATTAGTAAGCAATTAATGAAGCATATGCATTCAAAAGTTCTCAGAGTATTACTTCCCATTTTGTGTTCATAGTTTCTGGCGTTTAGTAAGTTATGGAAGGAAAAAGACAACCAAAACAATACATGAAAAAACTGGTTTTCAAAAAAACACTTAATAATTTAGAATGAATCGACTTTTAATTTTTAAACGAAAAAAGGACTGCCTCGGAATGGATACTGCTAGACTGTTGATAAAGTTTATCACTGGTCTAGAATATAAAGAACAGAATAACAAAGGATTTAACGGACACTTTTACTAGCTCCGTTAGACCTATGATGCGTCCTCTATCCAAATAAAAGAAAACAAAAATAAACTTTTGCTGTGCGTAGAAGTTTTTGGCTCATTGTCCTGCGAACCCGATAAAAATGTGTTAGTTTTCGTCTGTCATGTGATAGACACAACCAGATACAAACCCAGTTTACAAAATCGCACTATATACAAAACGGGGAGAAAAGATAACCGGCTGTAAACCCAATCACATAACTTTACGTAAAACATGATTTTTCGTCTAGACGATGACTGTAATCTGATAGGCGAAAGCTTTGTCGCACATTTTTGTAAAATCCAAGTCTCCACCCAACGACAATCATCCCTTGGCTTCCAGTGATGCCTAAGACTCTTTTCCTTTAGGATGGAAAGCCGAGTCAGATTAAACTAAAACAATAGTTTAGTTTCTAATTCAGAAAGAGATACTGCTTCATGAATGCAGATAAAAGTTGGAAGTCCCAGCTGTTCAGTATCAAGATCTTCAGGATGATTTAAAGTAAATTTGTTTATTGCAGGAAACATATTAGAATTTTTGGTTAAAAGAAGGATATATTATTAATTGTTTGTTTATAAGCAGAGTTTCGAGACTACCAGTAAATCAGTTATATTAAATGTTTTAAGCATATTTCCTTTAAGATAATGAAGGACAAGTAGTTGAATTTTTCCATGATCATATGAGTAGAGCTGACGATTACATAAAATTTCATTTAATTTTGCATTCCTAAAAGATGATTTCATCCAAGGTGTACTGCAGTTTTGACCACATCTAGGGCTTATCAACACCCCAAACATGATTGAAACCATGACAGTGCAGTGTGTAAGCTCGATAGGGTAACCACTCCGCCACAGTGCCACGAGTGCCCTTTGGTCAAAGGGCAGATGTAAATTTTAGGGCCAGGAATTTTTCCTTATCACATTCTTTGGTGGGAGTGTCAATAAAGCAAAGTAATATTTGCTATAACAATCGACTACATTACTTATTATTCGTTTATAAGCAGAACTTCAAGACTACCAATAAATCAGTTATATGAGATATATTCACCCTATTTCGTTTAAGGCAGTGGTTTCCAAACTTTTCCTAGTTGCGACGCCCTTTTTTAATTAAAGTATGACTATTCGTAAGAGATAAAAATAAATAAAACGCATGTATCTTCATTATTTTTTTACTTTATTAATATTAAATTAATATTTAATAATTAATGTGATGGATGAGCCTGCAAATCACTGCAGATTTTCTCAAATCGTGGAATAAAACTGGACACGACCACCCTCATTTCTTTTTCCACGTTTATTTTTGCTCTATACTTGCTTTTTATTACAGCGACTGCCAAAAACACAGCTTCGCACAAATACGTCGAAAATTAAATCAGAATCGGCAGAGCCTTATCATTTAGAAGGGGATATTCATGTTTTATTGAAATCCAAAATTCTGTCAATTCCATGCTGCCAAATTTTTCTTTCAAACTGTTATCGCAAGATAACTCGATAATATTATCTTTTTCTGCAGAATAAATTCAGACGGAACACTAGTGTTAAATGGATCTTTAATCCATGCAAACTTATCTAAATTTACATTTTGAAA